TATGCGTTATGTTTGGGGGAAGAAGGTAGTACTCGGCCTCAGCATTGCAGAAAGTGAACTCGCCGCCCATCTGAAAATTTTGGAGCTCGGGCCTACCGGACCACAATGGCTAGCGGCATCATCCAGAAAAGAAAAGAAGTGTTCTGCTGGTGGCTAGGCAAAGCTTGGCGCTCAGTGGAACGCCTACAGGCCTGATTGTACTGGTGGTATAACACTGAAAATGTCCACGCAATCCTTTTCCTGCCCAAGTCACCGGGGTCCTTGTTTCTGGCCTATGAAGCAGCACCTTAGAAATGAGGACCCCCTCGTTTTCTTGCATTTGTTCACAATGGGCCTCGCTTCGCTACTTACCAAATGTTGAAAATGAGCATGAATCTTCCACGAGAACATGGAAAGGTAAACTGACGTAGTTTTTGCCTTTTGTGCATGTGGTGAGTAGTGAAGCGAGGCCTATTGTGTCTAAAGAAACCTGGCCGATAGAGATGACACCTCTCTTTGCTTTTCTATCTCTCCGCACAATTGATTTAGCAAATGTTTTCGGGCAGCCCACGAATCCAACGGCTGCAGACAAGAGGAGACTTTTTTTCGAGGGGGGGGGCTGGCTTTTCCACACAAATCTACGTCAGGTAAAAACCTCTCAAGTATTCCGGGCTCCATTGCTTTTCACTTAACTTTTTTTTCACATATGCCACGCCTTATTCCACGTTGTATTGAGTTCAGAGCGACGGAGCGCATCTGGTGACCTCTTGGTCGTTCCTCAAATTGGAGACGGATGAACCTGGTCTCTTTGGAGCTGACCAGAGAGACTGTTCTCAGTCGTCTTCAATTTGAGCCTAGCTCAGTCGGTACACCCATGACATGTTGAAATATAGTGCCGAGTTTGAATCTCGATGGACCAAGATGCATACAATAAGACAATTATGAAATACCTGATAAAACATTTCTAGGTGTAACAACTAAGCTAGGATCCAATTTCACTTTCCTCAAACTGGAGCCTAGCTCTGTTGGTACACCCACAAACTGTTGGAATACAGACTCGAGTTTCAATCCTGATGGACCCAGATGTCACAGCGTGACAATTCTGAATTACTTGGGGCTGGTCAATTCAATGATGGTATCTTAAGGCCGCCACCCTTTTTCATGTTTCAGTGAAAATAAATGGAGAAGGGGAATGGGGAAGCGGGAAGGGGCAGGGGAGGAAAAAGAAAATGGGGGAAGGTGGGAGGAAGAGACCGTGACCAGGGGGGAAGTACTAATAACTGTCTCTTATACACATCTAGATGTGTATAAGAGACAGGAAAAAGGCCTTAGGGGAACAGGTCTGAAAATAGATCGGCAATCCTTGGGACTGCAACGCTGATGACAAGGCGCAATCTTTGTGTGTGGCTTAGTCGCAGCCTTGTACTGTTTAGTCACAGCCTTTATGGCTTATAATAGTCACGGGCTTCGTGTCTTAGTCGCAGGCTTTATGACTTAATTGCAGCCTTTATGGCTTAGTCACAGCCTTTATGGCTTAGTCACAGCCTTCTTGGCTTATATAGAGTCACAGCCTTTGTGGCTTATAGGTAGTCAAAGCCTCCGTAGCTTAGTCGCAGCCTGTATGGCTTAGTCACAGCCTTCTTGGCTTATATAGTCACAGCCTTTGAGGCTTATAGATAGTCAAAGCCACCGTAGCTTAGTCACAGCCTTTATGGTTTGTATAGTCACAGCCTTTGTGGCTTATAGATAGTCAAAGCCNGGGGGGGGGGGGGGGGGAGATCCTTAACGCTAATTCAAAGCGTTGGACCTGAATTTTGTTAAATGTAAAGTTCGTTTTCATAGATTCTGAGCGGATTTTGTTGTTGTTGGGGCGCCTTTTTTGTAATAGCAGCCTCACGTATGGTAGGTGGAGCCCCACTTATAATTACGATGTCGAGCACATCGGCTTCTGCCTTTCTCACGAAAGGCGAGAGCCCTCCCGGCCACGTCACTTAGGAGTTAAGCGAAACAAAACTGAGTCGTCTTCGGAACAATGCAAAAGAACCAGCCGAACCGTCGAGACGGGCGTGGTTGTGTCACCCCTTCACCGCTCTAGCCGGGTGCGTTAGCCGTATTTCTCATGGTCTCCTACGACAGTATAGGTTCCCATGGGGCACAACTTACCTTTCCCAGGGGATTTTCACCACCCTTTGGGGCGTATCCCTACCGAACTATTTACCCACGTACGAAAGTTTTTAAATGCAACTGCAGAGGTAGGTCAGCCGAGGACATTTGTTCGGTTCGTTGCAGTATAGGAAACGGTTGGTTAAAACGTTATACAAACCCGGACGCCATCCGTGCCATAGGGTGTTGATCTCCTAGATACGAATGAACAGCGGTCGACTAGGGCCATCTCAACCAAGCGTGAAACCCACAACTCAATCCTAGTCCCTTAAACACTACCGTCTTAACCTGAAAACAAGATACATACCTTGTATTGAAGTTACCTCCGAAAAACGGGTTCGAAGAAATCGCTGTTAAATTTTCGAATATAAGATACGTACCTTATATTCGAGGTATGCCTTGAAACTGTCATGCAACACTCTCTCTCTCTCTCTCTCTCTCTCTGGCATGAGTTGTCCACACACGGGCACAATGTTGTGTGTGTGTGTGTGTGTGTGTGTGTGTGTGTGTGTGTGTGTGTGTGTGCAGTGCGCTGTCCACTCACCTGCTTTCGTATACGGGTGCAATGCTCCCTCTCACACACATACACACACACTCAAACCTAACTAGAATTTCAATACATGCCGGATCGTGAGCATGCAACGAAGTCAATGTGTTCTTAAAAAAATAATAATAAAAAAAATGAACGTCACGCTACAGCCCCGTCCTGGTAGCGGATGACAATGTTCTATTTGTGATATTATTACTGATATTTACTATACACATTTTTTATTCCCCCCTTTGCCTTAGGAAAGTTGCACCATAAAATTCGTTCTATAAGGTATTTACCTTGTATTCGAATACAAGGTAGCCCGTACCTTGTATTCGTATACAAGTTACGTACCTTGTTTTCGGGTTAAGATGGAAGTCAAAAGAAAGCTATAACAACCATACATAATTGCATCAAAACGGATCGACCGTAGTCGATAGGAATGTATATCCAATCAGAAATGATAACTGAAAGAATTTGAATCATCATATAACGCATTCAATAACACAAGATCGAAAGAAAATCCGACCACCTCGGGTCGAACTCCATAAATAAAATATCATACATCCGCCAAAGAGGAGGTGACTCCGACAATAATCTCGACGCAGCCGACAAGGTAGTCGGTTTGTCTCAATTTTGACTTGATGAGACGTGTCACCAAAGTCGTTTTTCCCACTCTTCTGTAGACCTAACGCACGCAAACCCGTCCTCCTAGATTTTAATATTTTTGAATGATAGGCTGCTTTACGGATGATTATTGATCAGATGTATTACTGAAAGTGTCGTGTGTTTCACCCTCTAGGAAGTGGTCTGGGGTACTGCTCCTCGCTCAAGTACAAGACTCAGATCTTAGAAGTTCGGCCGTCTGCACCGAATCGGCAGAATACCCCCCTTGTAGAACGGTTCACTCCGGGACGATAACAGGGTCTGCCCCTAAAGCAACGAGTCTTAACCCCAGATGTTTAAGGGACTAGAATTGAGTTGTGGGTTTCACGCTTGGTTGAAACCGCCCTAGTTGATCTACGTTCGTTCGTACCTAGGAGATCAACACACTAAAGAACGGATGACAATGACATTTTAACCAAGCGTTTCCTATACTTCAGCGAAGTGTCCTCGATCGACCTACCTATACAATTGCATTTAAAATTTGTGGCATGTGGGTAAGTAGCTTAGTTGGGATACACCCCTAAGGGTGGTGACAACCCCTTAGGGAAGGTAAGTTGTGCCCCGCGGGAACCTATCCTATCGTAGAAGACCGCGAGAAGTATAGGTGGCGCATGCGGTGTCGAGGGCATCGGTCCCGCGCAGGGCGAGATCCTTCCGGCCGCGTCACGCAGGAGTTGGTCTATTTCTCATAATACACATGAAGCTTCCGTAAACCTCTCCGGCCGAGTACGCCAGCCATACCTATCGTGAGCCCCTACGATGGGATAGGGCCAACGTGAGGTACAACTTACCTCTAGCTGCGAGAGTTGTCCCCTCCCTTCGGTGGGTGTATCCATGTTGAGCTACCAGTTCACAGTACGAAAATTAATAAATTGCAGTTGCAAAGGTGGAGCAGCCTAGGGCGTTTCTCGTTCGTTGTAGCATAGGGTGTACGCGTGGTCTTACGCCTGTATTGGACCATTGCGCGAACCGACGCAATGGGGGACTGAAGTCCCAAGCGCGACTCGTCGTCGGTCGACTAGAACGCATCTCACTTACCACGCGTTACAGCGCACGTAAACTTAAAAATCAAACACACACACACACACGGAACGATAAAAAACAAACAACACAACAACACTCATAGTCTCGTTTGTAGCCATCCTATAACCTTCCGACGCGGAAAATTGGATTGGCAACACGAGCGAGACTTAGTATAAAACCGCGCGGATGCAAGACCTTCTCATATCGACTAGCAATGCAAGCATACACAAGCAGTCGCAATGATGGCGTACTATGTAGTACCCATAACCACGCGGTCCTTGATAATCTCAAGGGTCGCGTTCAACACTCAAGTGTCGGCTGGCATGCGCTTTGAGGGGTTAATCTGTTGACACTAGATAACCGCCTAGTGCAGTTGAGAACCACACCCTCTTCCGCACCTTGCAGAGAGGGTGTGGTACACAGGTTCATACATGTGGTGGCAATCGTCTCTTATTGCTCTCGAGACCAGTTCCAGCATTTAGGGTCTGGAGAGAACTTAAGGGGTTTGACTTTGACGGCTGCCACGGACTACAACGTCCAACTATAAACACTATAAAAAACAAAAGATAAAAGAGGATCTTCATTCTTTCAATGCATAATCCATTTAAATATTGTGCACGGTCACAATAGGTCGCGAAAACACTTAAGTATTCGTTTGTTGAAGGCTCGGGTTTCGCCATTTCTTCGCTTTCCGCAGTTTTTTTGCCGTCGACAGCCTCTCTTACTACCTCCAATTTCGCAGCCAATTCCTGCCTTATAGACGACTGAAATTCTTCTCTGTTCTTTTTCTCCATTTCTCTTCGTTGTTCCTCTTCCTTATCTCGCTTCTTTCTCTCTTCCTCTTCACACATCGCCCGCTCCCGTGCCTCATCCGCCTGGTGCTTAGTGTTGATCCGCGTAACGATCTCTTCTAATGTGCTGACACGTCTTCCCAGTCCTTCGCCATTACCACCATATTGACCTGGAAAGTACGGAGCAGACGTTCCGACCTGTGCCGTAGGACCGGGTGGATACGTCGCAATCGGCTGGACTGGCACGACTGGTACAATAGCATTATTCGACTGTTGACTATTACCTACACGGGGATGAGGACAAAAACGCGAAATATGACCGTACTGACCGCAGTTATAACAATGAACTGGTGGTCGAGGACCATCCCTGTTCACATAACCAACACCATTAGACGCCATCTCGAAACGCGAAGTCACTCAACTGTAGTGCAATCTCTACGTTGGTTCCTTCGTGTGATAAAGTTGGTCTTGCAAAGCCAGAACAATGGATAGTCAAAATGGATTAACAGCAACGTGACACTGCATGACCTCAACTTTGTCATAACATAGCCATTGACGACAGAACACACGACACAGGTAGACGACAGGAAAATGACGACCGACAGACACGACAGGAAAATGACGACAATACCAACAGACAGGTGTCCCCGAACGCGACTGAAAAATTAAGATAATCGTGAAGTACATAGTGCGGAATAACCGCAGGCGTATGACCCGACCGGTTTCGCCTAGCCGCCGAACTAGGCTCATCAGGGGTCTGATGTTGGTTTGACGGACACAAGTAATGCTGAGACTATATACTAAAGAAAAGAACTATACTACTTCGTAGTCGGTCACATACGTCACACATGCAGTCAGGCTACTCCGCAGTCTGAATCTAACCTGTAACAAGGTTGCGCTCCAACCACCCCGAGAAAAACTAAAAAGAAAGGCCTACCGCCAGATTAAGAAAAAATCCACAATCCCCCAGTTGTCAAACCCATACCCCCAACCGACCCCATACTGACTGTCTCTCTTTTCGCTGGAACCGCAGGTGCCCACATAAAAGCGGCGGTACTGTCGTGAGAGCTCCTTTTTCGACGGCACTGTCGGGTCCCGTTTTTGTATCACGACCCTAACGGTCCGGCCCCGACTTTCCAG